TTGGGGTTCAGACACTGATCCAAGGACTTGCTTGCCTCGAGGTAACTATGTGCCATATGACGAGAGATTATTGCCCCTGAAGGGATTACTGCATTTGGTTAATTGGCTGACAGTTAAGAGACAGCGGAAGAGGAGAGAATGGGACACGGGACAGATAAGCTTTAATGAGGAAAATATAGAATGGTGCACATTAGAGGGCAATAGCAGTTAGGGCAATGTATTAGGGTCTTCCGGAGAAACAGAACCAGTAGGAGATACAGCAATACACACACACACACACACACACACACACACACACACACACACACTGCTGTCTGCAACCGGGAGACCCAGGGAAGCCGGTGGTGTAGCTCCATAAGAGTCCAAAGGCCTAAGAACTGGAGGGCTGATGGTCCCAGTTCCAATATCCCAGCTCGAGCAGTCAGGCAGAGAGCATATTCTCGCTTTAGCACCTTTTTTGTTCTATTCAGGCTCTCAATGGATTGGACAATGCCCACCGAAGTCCAGTAAAGCTCCCTGCTGCCTTCAGACGTCCCACCGGTCCCCCGTTGGCACCCCTAACCTCTCTGGACCTGTCAGGAATAATGTCTTCTGTTTCATGCATTTTGGTCTCACCTCCTCAATGCATTGTTTCTCACCCGACCAACACACCCAACCTCTGTCCCCTGGTCAGGGCTCTCCTTGAGAGTGGCTATCTTGGCTTATGGCCACTCTCGACAGAGATGAAATGAACCATAACAATAGAAGTCACTTAAACTTAAGTACATATATGTCTTTACATATCATATTTGCAAACTCTCTAGGGTGACCTGTGGATTATGTTCCTCCACAAGCTTGCTGGATTTTTGGTACCAACAGTAAGCACTGAGTACTACAGAGTATGTAAGAAAGAGCTTGTGAGCAAGTTGTGTATTTCTTTGACAGGATTCTATAACCATATACAAAACACTGGGTATTATTTCACATTAGGCATGCTTTCCCACACTAATAGCACACAGAACTGGCTAGATAATTTAATTTGGCAGCATTTTGGGGAAGAGCAATTGTCATCATTTAGAACCCAGACCAGCTACACCACAATCACCCAGTAGGCTGGTTAAAAGCATTCTTCACTCTGCATCCCACCCCAGGACATACCATATCAGAATCTCTTGGAACAAGGAACCTTCATGTTTATTAAACTCCCCAGATAATTCTCATTCAGAGCAAAGTTTGAAAAACACTGGGTTTAAGATATAAGTTGTTGTGGTTACTTAATAGAAATCTTTCTAATATCGCAAACTTTTGCCTCAAACTCTATTGGTGACACTTGGTCAAAATTTGGTCTCTTTCTTCGCCTTATGTAAGAACAATTTTTTAAAAAAAACAATCATTTTAAACATTAAATAGCTTTCAATGCTTTCAGGTCAGCATCGTGGATTCAATTTAATTATAGAAAACTAAAGAGGAAAAATACAGGGGAAAGAAGTTCCAGTTGTTTAAAGGCTCTGATTCATGACTGTTTAGGAGCACGTGTTGAAGCACGTAGCTTCTCTGCACCGGTACTACTCCAGGTGTAGTTCTCAGAGGCAAGCTGTTCCTTATGTCACGGGTCCTCACCCTTCCTGCTAGGGTTCTCTCCCTGTATGGCACGCACCACGCATGCTGAAGAGTGAGCCTTGCAAACTTAGTGTCCTCCACATGCAATGATTATGCTACAGTAATTTCTCACCTGGGTTACTGCTGGGTTTTCCCTAATTGAGTAACTGCTCACTTGCAGTGAACAATGGTCAGTTTGAAGGATTCTTTTCTTTTTCTCCATGTTATGTTTGTTCCAATCATATTTATTGAAATGTAATTTTATGTCTGTTGAACCTAATAAGAAAAACTGGACTTATCATTTGTATGTTTTGCACTTCATTTTTCTTATATTAATAATTTATTTTTATTACATTTTTTAAATGCAGTTATGTGACAGATTTTTTTAAAAAAAGATTTCTTCACCAAAGGTATAGAGCAAAGCACTGCTTTCTACCATGCTCCTTTAAACAACTGTAGACAAAACATGGCTCTAGTCTAGCATTTTCTCACTTGCAAAACAGCAGAGGGTTGTATTAGATCAACAATGAGATTCTCCAGCTCTAAGATTTTCTGTGGATACAGTTATATCTCATTTTCCTGTAGGTGGATTATTTGCTTTGTGAATTATCCTTGACAAACTTTTACATTTACAGCTGAGTTTCTGCTGCCTCTCATCATAGTTCTGAACCACCCTTCCTGGTATGAGACTGTGTGGGTTTAAAGAATAAAGAGCATTTTAATAACAGCCTAATCAAAATGTAATTAGAAAAGGTAATTTGGCACCAAAAATATTACACGATACACATCGAAAATAAATTCCAGATATTTCTTACTATCTGCTTTTTTGGATTACCACTTCTCCCCCTCCACTAGTACAGTTGTTAATTTCTTCATCCCAGCTTTTTTAAAGTGCCAAAGACTCAACACAACTGTTATCTGCAAATCTACTTCTGTTACTTGTCAACCTCTCTCATTTTCTGCTTCACATTAGCAGAAAATTTTAAAATAGTAAATTTTAAAATAGTAAATTTTACTTTTATATTTTTATTGATAATCACATCCTACCTCTGTTAGCTTGTACTGCATAAGCAGGTTTTAAAAAAAATTTTATGTAACCGAGCAGGAACTTAAAACAAAGTATTTTAAGAAATTATGTTCTAGCTGTGTGCAGTGGTTCACCCCTGTAATCCTGTGCTTGAGGTCAGGAGTTTGAGACCAGCCTAAGGAAGAGCAAGACAACATCTCTACAAAATAGAAAAATTAGCTGGGCAGGGTCCTGAGTAGCCACAGCTACTTGGGAGGCTGAGGCAGGAGGATCACCTGAGTCCAGGAGTCGGAGGTTGCAGTGAGCTATGATGATGCCACTGCACTCTAGCCCAGGCAACAGAGTCAAGACCCCGTCTCAAGAAAAAAAAAAGAAAAAGAAAAAGAAAAAAATTATATTCCTTCTCTAGAGAATGTGTAAACAAAAGACGTCTAAAGAGTGATCCAATTAGATAAACTTCTGTCTCTGGGAACTAGAACCTCTGAGTTGGTTCTCAAAGTCTGCATGTTCTACACATAACGTCTAACAAGGCGTTCCTCACTGCAAGCTTAGAGTAAGTAAGCAAACATCACAACATGCATCACTCCGAATGTTTTCAGAATGCACTGACCCTCTGAAAGTTTCCAAATGGCTTCTTTGTGTGCTGTTACAGACCATCTGGCTAGCTGTAGATAAACAAGTTTCAACATATGGGCCATAGCACATACACAGTTCTGCTCCACCAGTGCAGAAAATTAAGAAAAGGTCACTCTCTTGGCAGTACTAACTCATGCAAAAGAAGCAGCACCATATAGTGAAGGGCCTGCCATAACGTGCACACAGAAGAGCTTAATTCCAGCTCCTTCTCCCCTACTCACTGGGCATGCCACTTGAGCATACCAAGTCTCCTCCATTTCCTCATACAACAATTAAGGTGCCAGTCAATTCTGGTCCCTCTCTCCTTTCTTCCCTCTCATGAAAACAAAGCTATGATATGCCTACCATACATATTAATACATGCCCAGAACGATGCTAAGTAATGGGTACACTGTTGAGGAAAACAGACACAGTCCCTGCCTTTGAAGAATTACTGGACAATGATGAAGACATAGTTTAAATAAATAATGAAGAGCAGGAAGAATAGTCCAAACTGAGGGGTAAAGCATGTGTGAAGGTCCTGAGATGAGAAGGAACATAGACTGCTTTAAAAAAATTCAAGATTTATAAACATTTACATTCATTAAATTGAAAATTCAGCAAACAATCAAAATGCTGAAAGGAAAATTCCCACCATCTCCAGATGGCAATTCAGACAATTATTATATTAGCATAACTATTTGAAAAATTGTCTGCATTTTCTATTCATATTGTTGATCTCATGCCTACACTCAATGAACCTAATGAAACTGCATTAAAATCTGATCGTCAAATACATATACAAGCATCTCAAGCACATGACACCACAGTAAATGCTTTGAGTTATGAAACAGTTTCTAGAAAACCTAGGAATTCTGACTGCCTCCTGTTTAATATTTTTAGAATAAAACTAAACACTAAGGCAACAGTAATTCAGTTATCTCTTACAAGTACTTTACTTCCCAAGCATGGTTTCCCAATATTCAGCCTTGCCAGAAGATGACAGCTGACACCCTAGAGTGAGAAGAAAGATTAGTCATAATAGTCCTTCTTTCCTGAATAGTCATAATATATATAAGATGCTTATTTCAATGATTTTCCCAATTCTTAGTTAAAATAAAAGTGGTACCCTTGGCACTGACAAATTATGTCATACATGACATAATATTGTTTGTTTTTCTCATTCCCTTTCAATTTCTACCTTTCCCTTTTATTTGGTTACCATATATTTAAAGCACAGTGTACACATGAAGTCCAGCCACTGTAGCCAGAACAAAGCAGAGAATTCAATAACCAAGCATTCAAGTCGGGCAGGATAAAGAGACAATTTGAAATAACAAAGGTCCTAATAAAAAATTAAATAAACACATTTGGAAACCTGAATCAATGCAAGTGACAGTAACTCCCTGTCTTATACTACAGGAAAGAAAAATGTTACTCCCTGTAACCTCCTATAGCTCTTATTGTACTAAATTGTGACAATCTGCGATATGTCTGCCTTATACCTGATGGCAAACTCCTCACAAGTGAGAATCGCGCTCATCTTTGTGCCCTCAACACCTACAGAGCTGAATATAGCAGGAGCCCAATCAATACTCATTAATCAACTCAAGTAATGAACAGTCACTGTTTAAAAAAATAAAAAGTTACTAAGGGGATGAATCGTCACAGTGAAATGTAATTAATTACAGAACTGTCTGCTACCCGTTAGGATTTCAGCCAACATGTGAAATTTGCCATTTTGCCATTCTGCCTACAGTAATATGTATGACATAAGACCTTTAATTAAAAATCTTTACTTAAGTTGCTTTATTTCAGCTACAAATAAACTTTATTTGATGTCATGTAATAAAACATTTTCAAGTTTAACAATATGTATCTGACCATAAATAATCATTTAAATTATGAATATAAGTATATACGGTCACTTTAGCAAATCTGCGGTTCAGGAATTTGTACAAGCTTTGTCTGAAAGGACAGTGCCCACCTCCCCTTTCAGGAAAGGCAGCCCTTCCCCGTGTCTGGTAAGAAGCAATGTCAATGAAAGTTGGAAGAAGTCCATAGTCCACGCTGGAATTCCACTTTGTCCTGTGAGAGGACAGCTTTCTTTTTTGTAGGAAAATAATATATTCTCTTTCAGTTCTCTCCTATCGAATGAAGGCTTGCATTCATTTTTTCCCTTGTAGGTATAGGTACTCTTCTGATTTAGTGCTTTTCTGTCTCCTTAGCTCATACTTATTACATAGTACCATTTTTTAAAAAAATACTATCCCCAAAGGGACATTTTCTGTTTCCTTCCCTTCCCTTAATGTCTACCATGGGGAACGGGGAGGTCAAGGGACAGAATTGCCCAGGCACACATTTAATTTAAGATACAGAGAACACAACAACGAATTCTCTAGAAGGAACAGAATAGCATTCTGGAGCATTTCCCAAGAGTGGTCTAGCTGACCTTGGATTCACACAATTCAATTTAATACAATGCTGCTCAACAAGAACGAACGTGTTTATGCTGCATCTCCAGACACATCACAACCGTTCATGTAAAACCCATTATTCCCACACATCTTCCACGTAACACATGGTTATGGACTGGTCCATGGGCCCGCTGCACTCCTGTATTATGTAACTGAGATTCAACAACATGCCAATGATCGTGTTAATTACAATGCAGTTATGTAGCACTGGCACTTCATCCAGGTAGAAACCCTCACAGGAGGAACCCCCTCACCTCTCAGGACCCAAGAAAAAGCTTGACTCTTATGCTTCTCTCCATCCTGAGATCTGTTCCTGAGTTACACCATAACAATAAATGAGTTAACAGAGAAAGTACACTGGAGGGGAAGTCACAGGGACCCTGCAGAAAAGCCAAACTATTTGACAGAAGCTTGAAACAAACACTGCTCTGGGAAATCTTTTGTATTAGCTGATGACTGGATTCTGTTTTCTAACACGGACATGCAACATATTCAACACTATGCTTACCGCAGTTTGCTTGGAAAAACCCTTCTGTCATACAAGAAAATACATTCTGTCTCATGAATGATTCCTGAATAGTCACCACAATGCCTAAACTCGGAAGCATGGGAAGTGTGCATCGGAACTTTCTCCCACTTGTGTGGATTTGGACATATGCAAAGCACCAGAAACTGCTTCCTTTCTGGAACCCAGTTCTGTTAATGTGCTTACTGCTGAGATGATCTGGCTGTCTTAAACCGAGAACACACACTAGCACTGATCCACAGGAAAAAGGAGAGGTCACGATCTCCCCTGTAAGATACTTTGTACAACAGATCACACTGTTTGCCAGGGTTTAGCCATCTCAAGAAAGAAGCCGCATTCCAGTCTGCAGTCTCCGCAAATGGCTTCGTTCTGTTTCCACCTCTATTTTGCCTTGTTTATTTCCTCTCCATTATTCCGCTTTCGATCATGAATCATGACCTTTTTTTCTACAGTAGTCAGAGTTTTGTCTATAAAAGAGAGAGAGAGAGAGACAAGAAAATGATTTAGCAGAACCGTAAATGTGAGGTTTCATTTTGTGGTGGGTGGATTTAATTTTTTATGGCAGTCAGTAATTTGAATCATTTGTGGCTTCTAAGGGATTACAAGCATCTTTAAAGGGAAAGAAAAAGTTCTGTGGCTCTTTTCATAAATTTCATAATTTCTGCAAGTTGCTAAGGCCTTAATATATTTGCAAATCAGCCCCAAACAACCCATTTAGAAAATCACGTTTATAATACAGCTATAGCCAAAAATGAATTTGCTCTCAAAAATCCTTGCAAAATACTACAGCACTTGCCCTACTTGAAAAGAAGAATGACTACCAATAAGAAGTGTTCTCCCCTTCAAACCTAGGAAGGTATAGTAAGCTATGTGTGCAGAGACCGGGAAACCCCACTTCCCTCACTCCCTCCCTCTCAGACTCACAGAAGTGTGTCATGAGCATGAGAAGTGTCAGCCACTGTCCAATGGCTGAGAAAAAAATCCCTTTCTCCTAGTGTAGAGCCACACGCCCCTAACTCCGTAGCGCCATAGGCCTCAACTTACTACACTACACCTGTGCTTAAGACCTAGGTCTATGAGCTCCCAGGGCCTGGGACATCCAGTCTCCACGTCCCTGCCCCATCCAAAGCACCCCCTTCACTTGGCTGTCCTGCATCGGTCCTGTTCCTCCTCCTCTGACAACCCAATCTCAGTCTGGCCCTTCCAGACAGGTGACTCAATTGGTGGATTTCCCAGGCAACATGGTCCCTGGCTTTGCCCCTCAGCCTCACAGAACGGCACCTGAGGACAAGTGCCACACTTCAGCCCAGACCCAGCACTCTAGGCTCCTGGGTGTCTAGGAATGGAAACTGGAAATGGGCGGTGTCCCCAACTGTACTCCACTGATCCCAAGCCCAGGGCCTCTGCCTGTTCAGCACAGAGGAGAGACCACACTTTCTCTGCGGCTCAGCACTGCTCTCCTCGCACCAGTTCTTGTACCGAACTCCTCCAGGCTGCAGCACCATCTGCGACGTCTCCCTCTCCTCACCAGCCGCCTGCTAGCCAGTTGTGACGGTCTGGGGATTCCAACGCCCAAACATCTCAGATACCCTGGGCCTCGTTTCTGGTCTTGACATCACCCTCCTCATGCAGGCCTCACCTTTACGTCAGTCTCCTAAACCATCCCACTTCCCTTATTATGAAGCCCTGGTCTCACTCCTGCTCAAAAGCCTTCATCTCCCTCCCCAAGCCCTGCCCACCTGGCCCTCCACGCTGACCCCAGGCCACCCAGCTTCCCAGTGTTGCTGAAGACATGCTCCAGCTCCTTGTCCACCTGCATCCATGTCTGCACCCCTCTGTCCATGCTGTTCCCGCTGCTTGCAGCAGCCCCCACCCCACCTCCACCTCTACTGGCCCTTCTTGTTAAATTTCCAGTCTTTCTTCAACCCACCTCAACTATCCCTCCTTCTTGGATTCCACTACGGACATTTTCTTCTTAAGAATTCTGCCCCCAGCTTATTTTTCTTCTATACCCCTCTCTACTGCTTGGTTTTATATTGCGCTATGTGTATTTATTCACTACTAAGAAAAAAAAAACATATATATTCTAAAAAGCAAGAGAGGGCAATCACCTGCCTTTTCTACTTTAAAGAGATGTTACAAAGTTAAAATGTAGGAAATTGCAAAGCATGGAACAAATAAGCTATTACTAGTTGATGATTTAATAAAAACAAAATGCTGAATTGCAGCTAGTTAATTATGAGGAAAATACTATCGTGGGGGAAAAAGTCCACAAAATAATAGCAAATTTTTTGTTTGATCCTGACTTTAAGGCAATACCCCATCACAAATACCTGGGGTTTTAGGAGCCTCGATGTTTCTTCCCAATTTCCTCTGGGACTCATTTCATATTATCTTATTTTTTAATTACTGGTTTCCATAAAGAAAGGGTAGAATCACCCTGAACTCCAAAGTTTCAGCACAAACCCTGAAGCAGTATATTAGCAGAATTCATGGCAGAAACCCAAAGTTACTCTGCCTCAAGTAACTGCTAAGAACCACTACAATTAACAGGGCTTGTAAGAGGCTCTTTGAAGAGAAAGACAATATAATTACCAAGAAGAAAAAAAAAAAGAAAGGAAAAGGAAGAGCTACTTCAAAACAAGATCATGACATTCTTTTATATGGAGGTATTTTTTAGACACTGCTTTTCAATATTGTTTATAAATAGTGTCAAAGAACAAACTTCATCAAAACATGATACTTAAAAGCGATTTATGGCAATTCAAAGCAAATCCACAAGTAAAGTCATCAAATTAAAAAGAAAAAAAAAGAATCCCTGATTATATCACATTATCACATTTGGTTTTGTACAGTATTACCAATCTTTGAATACTTGTGAAAAGGATTGATAGTAGTAAACTAAAATTACCAGTGCAAAAGTATTCACAGCCTTTTTCCCTCTATTCACTCCATTACCCCAAGGAAAGTTCTCAAGTGCATGCTGGACTTCTGAGGCTCTGGTTAGGCTGATTGAGAAAACGGAAGAAATGGGTAAATATCTGGGAGCAGCAACACATAGTCTAGTAGACAGTTTACAAAGGAAAGGAAGAAACTATTATGTAGGAGAAAAAATAGAGCCAAGAAGGCAGAGTAAGCAGGAAAAGTAAGGGACTAGAACCCAAGCAGCCAGGGAAGGAGCTGGAGAAATTAGAGGGAGGAGCCCAGAGTCTCTAGGGTGAGAGGCAGAGGAGAGGCAAGGGGAGCAAAGGATTCTAAGAGGCTGTGAATTGGATCCCATTTGTCATTCTTCCTGAGACTCCAGAGACTGGCTCTGTCATCCATATTCCACAGAGTTATGAGTTGTTTGGGGTTATCCACCTAGTGTCGATGCGAATGCAACCATGCAGAGTACGGACTGTGTGGGTTATTATTCTGGTTACGAGTCTTTCACTAGCCATCACACCACCTCTGCAGCCACCCCAGCCCGCCAGATTCAGAGCTTCCAGAGCCATGACTGTCACTTACTAATCTTTCTACCCCGACCATGCCTGGCACCAGGCCTTCTCCATAGTAGGCCCTCAAGTCTCTGGGAGAAACAAGCCAATGAAGAGACTTTTTACATCTTTCTGACTCACCCCACACCGTGCCATGACTCAGTTGTTGCCACTTTGATGACTCCATTCCCCTACTTGCAGATTCATTGATGGCTTACTACTGTTTGCACCAGAATTTTCCAACTTTAGCATCATTGGCTAGGCAATTCTTTGTTGTGGAGGCTGTCCTGTGCATTGTAGGATGTTTAGCAGTAACCCTGGCCTCTACCCAGTAGATGCCAGTACCACCCTCCCTAACCCCTGACCTGTGACAACCAAAAATGTCTCCAGACATTGCCAAATGTCTCCAGTTGCAGGGGGAGGGCAAAATTACTCCTGGTTATGAACCACTTGCCTACACTAAAGTCCAAATTCTTGGAGCTGGCATAGAAGATCCTTCATAATTTCATCTCAGTCTACTTCATCTTTTCTAGTCTGATCTAACAGTTCCCTCAACCTAATGTTTAGCTTCAACCAGGCAAAAAATGCCCCCTTCACCTGGAATATCATTTCTGCTCTCCTTTAGCTATAAATATTTGGACCACCTTCACAGACATATTCGAGCCCGTATCCTGGCACCATGCCTTCTGAAGGACCAGAATGTCTTCTCTGATCAAGGTTAGTGTAAGCTCTGAGTTATTTTCCTTTCCTTCAAATCTTGTAGCTTTTCCTGTTTCCACCTTTCCTTATTACAAAAAAGGATGAATGTGCATATGTCTTAGCCTATTCAGGCTGCTGTAACAAGATACCATAAACTGGGTAGTTTATGAATAACAGAAATTTATTTCTTATAGTTCTAGAGGCTGGGAAGTCCAAGATCAAGGCACCAGCAGACCTGGTGTCTGGTGAGGGCTTGCTCTCTGCTTCACAAATGGTACCTTCTAGCAGTGTCCTCACCTGGCAGGAGGAGTAAACAAGCTCCTTCGGGCCTCTTCTATAAGGGCACTAATCCCATTTGTGAGGGCTCCACCCTCATGGCCTAATCATCTCCTAAAGGATCCACATTTTAATACTATTGCATTGGGAATTAGGTTTCAACAAATGAATTTGGGGGGTAGGGGTGGGGGGAGACAAACATTCAGACCATAGCAGCATATGCCTGTATTCATGTATGGTGTGTCTAATAGAAATACACACACAAAACAAGAAAGATGTATACTTTCTGTATCCTCCTCAATGCATGGCAGCCACAGAATAGCTCTATCACCAGAAATTTCCTAAAGTTCATAGATATTTTTAGGCCAGTCCTCCTAAATGATTTGAATATTCTGTAATTATAAATTCAAACTGTGAGAGATGTAAAGAGAGGACAGCAGACTAAAGCCTGTGGGCCAAATCCAGCTGGCAGCCTCCTTTTGTAAATAAAGTTTTATTGGTACATAGCCATGTCCATTTGTTTACTCGTGTTGATGACAAAGGCAGAGATGAGAAGTTTTGATAGAGACCATATGGCTAGTGCAGCTTAAAATATTTACTATTTGGCCCCTCTCAGTAAAAGTTTGCTAACCCCTGTCTTAGACTAAGAGGAAAACAAAACCCAAGCCTCCATGCTAGCTAAAGATACAAAGGCAAATATCCTTGGACTTTATATTAGCTGATTTATTTTTATAAAAGGCACAGTTTCATAGAAGTTAAAAGCACTTTGAACACAGACTTCCTGGGCTCAAATCCAGTTCTACCACCCTCATCTATCTGTATGACTGTGAGGAAATTATTTGACCTCTCCAAGCCCTTGTTGTGTTATTTTTGGAATGCAGGTGGAGAAAACCAACCTCTCATAAAGTTTTGAGGATTAAGTGATAAAATTCACAGACTGCTCAGCATAATGCCTGACAGTGAATCCTCAGCAAATGTGGATTTTTATTGTTTTAAATTGGGAAACCTGTTTATGTTACATTTTTTAAAATTATCATTTTGTGATTGATCTGAATTATCTGTGAATTACTAGCTAAAATAATCAATAAAATTATTCTCAAGTGCTTTGACTGTGTAGGAGGCATGCAAACACACTGGCATTTTCTAGTTCACGATTTTATCTGTTCTTTCCTAATTTATATATCAGCTGCTTAACTGGACCCCCTGCCACTCATCTTTCACTCTGTGTGCCCTTCTCCCTATTGCCAGAGAGACCTTCCTCAAACACATCCCTCAGCGTGCTCCTCCTGAGAACTGAAACCAACATGCTTTCCTTTTCCTATGCTAGACAATCCTGGGGCCAGACAAAATAACCTTGCTACTTGTTCCAGCAAATAGTTGTTTCCAGAAGATAAGGCTATACACCAACTAAAAGTGCTGACTTAACAAGACTAATAGTTTGCTTGTAAATACTTGCTTCAAAGCTCTCATCTAGCTGAACCCACTAATCCAAAGCTATTGTGTCAGAAACTCCACAGAGTCCTCACCAGTTCTCCACGTCAAAGCACTCAGCCAAAGCCCTAAAACTCTATCAATATTCTTGCCTACTTCCTTCATCTAAGAAACCAGACTCTGTCTAGATGTCCTTCCATAATGCAGTAAGTCTAATAAACCTAACTTACTTAGAGTAACAGGTCATTCTACTTGTCTTCTTAGAGAGCTGATGGCTATAATCCCCAGCTCAAAAACATTCAGTGGCTCTTCACTGCTTAGACACTAAACCATTTGACAAGTAGTGTTGCATAATGGGTCAGAACATCCACACTGGTGTGATCCATACCACATCTACCACCTAGGGGCCCATGTGACCTTAGGTCAGTGACTCTATGTTCCTCAGCCTCAAGTTGTTCTTCTGAAAACTGGGGATGCTAGAAGGACCAATTCTGCAGGTAGCATGATGTATAGGACGTAGCAGTAGGTGTTCATTAATTGTTAGAAGTTATTATTTTTATTTATCATCTATTATGTGCCAGTCACTGTACTAGATTCCACAAAAAGAAATCTGACTAATACACAGCTCCTCTTCTGAAGGAAATCATAATTGGGTGAACAAACCCTAGTGGTCAATTCAGTAGAATCTCATAGGCCTAGAAGGATGCCTGGGTTTGCTCGTAGTACATGCTCTAGAACCTGAAATTGTATTCTTTTTTTCATAAATGCTACTTTTTATATTGTGAACAATTTAATAAGCACAAAAAAGTGTATATAATAGAAGTAAAAATTAATTAATTAATGAAAGTACACCCAGCTCAAGAAATAGCACAGGTGTCGTCTTCCAACTTTGAGTTGTAAGAAAAGGCAGTCCAGTATACGAAAATGTGCTGCACTAGGATTCAGATGATGTGTGATCTAGACTTACCTGTGACACCAGCTAAGTGTGGGGCATCTCATTCTCCAAGTCTCAGTCACTTCTTCCGTCAAAGGAAGGGGTTGTACAAGATGACTGGGAAGGTCCCTCTCAGCTAGTGGCCCCTGGTTCTCTGGTCGATCCTTCCTGCTAGGCTCAGTGAAGAGGAACACCTCCTCCTTCATGTACAACACTAATCTGCTCACTGTCTCACCAGCACCTTCCAACTTCCCATTCCAAGTTTCTTTTCCCTTGGTTGGCTTTTAAACATGAAGGAATCTCTTCCATTTTAAATGTGAAACAAAGTCTTCATTTGACCTGCTGACGGCTCTAACTACTATACAGTGTCCTTCCTTCTTTACAATGCCAATCTGTTAACGTGGGGCTTACTGGAGAAACTTCCATTTCCTTTTCACCATCTGCCCTTGGCAATTCTTTTTCAGATCCTAACCCCCGCTGTAACTGCTTCTGGAAAGTTAGTCGGCCCTCCGGGACAAACTCAACGACTCTACCAGTATTCAGCTGCCGAGATGGCCAAGGGGGCTGGCAGCGCTTCCTGTGGCTTTCACACCCTTGCCCCATCCTGGCATCTGCCCACACCAACCACTCTCCTTTTGTCCGGGCTGCTTCCTTTCGGCCCATGTGACTGTAACTGCGTAGTGGAAAGATCATTGTTGCTTCGTTCCTCAAAAGAAGAATTTACCAGTGAAGGATGAGGTCAGCAGAAGAGGGAGGAATAATAGCAACTAAAATGATATTACAGGAATTCAGGTATAAGGACATAATTTGATTCCATTTATGCAGAAAGAATGGACAGTATCACCTTCCTTGTCATCAATCACAAGAATCGCAATTCATCAGCAAATCGGTCTCATCTTCCAATCCAAATAAGTACCTATCTTTGGCCTTTGGAATTGTATTGGGTGACAGACTGGAGTCTACACTATTAAGAATTCAAATCTGACAGCTGAGTAGAAAACAAGCTAGCTACTGAATCAGGAAGCTTTCTGTGATGTGTTGCAAGAAGAAGCTGCATAAAAGGGGTGGGGGTGGGGAGATAAAAGGAAAATAGTGATAAATGACCTTACAGCACAATCTCGGGTCGCTCCGGCCTCTCGGCAAGCTTCAGGGCCTCATGCATGCCTGCGGCCGAGAGCTTCCGGTTGATGTTCCGGTACTGGCACTGCAGCAGGCTGCGGTAGGTGGTCCTCAGGTCCCGGTTGAAGAAGGCATATATAAAAGGGTTAATGAGAGAGTTTGCATAGCCCAGCCACAGAAATGTCCTCTCCACCCACAGCGGGATGCAGCTGCAGGCGGTGCCGCAGATGAAGGGCCTGGCTGTGGACAGGAGGAAGAAGGGCAGCCAGCACACGGTGAAGGCGCCCACGATGATGCCCAGCGTGGTGGCTGCCTTCTGTTCCCTCTTAAAGATGGAGATGTTTTTCCTCTCGTGCTTGAGGAGTCTCGAGAGGTTTGCACACTCCTCCACCTCCTTCTGCAGCTTCACCATGCCGTTGAGCGCCACCACGCTGTCCGGCTGCACGCGCGGGAAGCCGGGGAACTTGTGTTTGGCTGCGCTCTTCCTGGCGGCCTTGTAAATCTGGTAGTACATGAAAAGCATCACCGACATGGGAATGTAAAACGCCACGGCGGTGGAGTAAATCGTGTAGCCGAAGTCCTGGCTGATCAAGCACACCTTGTCGTCGTTTACATTCTGAGCCCAGCCGAAGAGTGGGGGTAAAGTGATGGAGGCGGAGAGCAGCCAGACGGAGAGAATCATTTTGGCCATGCATTTCCCGTTCTGCCGCACAGGGTACGTTAGGGGCCTCGTGATCCCGAGGTACCTAGGAGAGAAATGGATGGACAACATGTGAACTCTGTGATCATAACCGTTCAACGGAGGAAGGACCACCAGCCAGGCACCACCGCTGATCCTCACAACAGCCCTTCTAGGTAGCCATCATTATGCCCACTCTCCAGAAAGGTAAACTAAGGCTCCAAGATGCTACCTATTTTATTCCAGCTGTCGCAGTCCACCATGCAGCTTGACAGTCCTCTGACCCTAAAGTTAGTCCACGCTTTTTGCATGCCTTGTAGCTTCTCACAATCCATGTAGGCAAAAAACTGAAGTTTAAAAACCTGTCTCCTACCCCCAGCCCTGCCCGTGACCACAGCCACCAAAATCAAAATCAGCCAGGAAGCCTGATACGGGATGTTCTGACACATCCTTGAAAATTAACCAAGGTCTACCACACTCTGATATTAAACACCCACAGATCTCCTCAGCTGTCTTAATTGAAGCCAGAGTTTAATTCATTTTCATTGCCCCTTTGCACTGTAGTAAAAGCATTTCTTTAAGATCACAGAGATTTTTGAGCTAGTTTTGAAATCCTATAGGTTCTAAATGGAAAGTAGAACGTGATCATTTTTTTCACCCAGAAAATTCTCACACAACAGCAATGTCAGAGGAACAATCTATAAAATAAAAAAGCCTGCCCCTTCATTTCTGAGAAGCATCACAAGAAAAGGCATAATTTTGAAAAATATTAGGCAAATCCAACATTTTCTCTGTGCTTAGTTCTATATAGGAAATAAATATTTCTCCATCTCTGTTATCAAAGTTTTATAATGCAAAAGAGAATTTGCAAACAGAGAAAACGTATACAGTAAGATGTTTTGCCAAATGCTTATTATTTTTCAGCTTTTCAAATTTGTGTTTCCCTCTATATTTAACAGTCTTAGCTTCTATTTTAGGAAGGATGCAAACAGTGCTTGAGAAGCAGAGACAGGAAAAAGCTGGTCATTTTGTTGTTGTTTTACTTCCTTTATGTATATAAAAGACACACTATTGAACCATGAAAAGGAAAGGTACAGAGAGTCCCTAATTTCTCCACAGGTTATTTTTTGAAAGTCGGTCAGTTGGTAGGTCAGAACTTAAAAATATAATTTCTGCTAGAAATACCCTTGATGTCTAAATTATCCCACAAAAGTCCAAAATCATATTTTCACGATGAAAATTAGCATCATTGCAATGCTTACAAGACAAAATTGAAATACAGTAAAAAGAAATAAGCCAGATTTGTTTATTCATCCAAAATACTTATTCATTTCTTCAACAAATACTAATGGAGCACCTTCTATATGACAGGTACTGCTCTAAATGTTGGGGATATGGCAGTGACTAAAAGAGACAAAAATCTTGAGTGCAGGCACATGGAGAAATCACATGAGGTAAAGGGGAAGACTAAGCGGACTTCTGAACCCTTCCAAGGACATAGGTGTTCGCGGCGCTGGTTCTTCACTTCACAACCTCTGTCTTCCCTTCTTGGTAAAGATGACCCTCAAACACCATCCTTAGGTTATCAGCTGTAGTTAGGACTCTGATGTGGCTCCCAAATAGAATTAAGGAAGAGAAAGAGGGAAGCTTTCCTGAGAATGCAAGAATAAGAGCTGAAAACAAAGAGGGAAAAGAGAAAAGGAACTAGAAAGAACAGAGGGAGAGGAATAAGGAAGAGGGAAAGAGATAGGAAGAGAGAGAGAAGGAAAATATGAAATAGGGTTTGCCTTATGTGGAATTCCCTGAGTTTCAAACAAACAAACAAAAAAAAAAATGGAAAAAATAATCTTTCTTAAAAAAAGGAAAATGAGGAAATCCTGTAGAAAGATGTCAGAACTGAATGCACACCCAAAATTAAGGGCTCCTTGCCAGAGGCTAAATGTAGAAATTCTATTAAAAAAAAAAAGGCCCCCTTCTTTGCTTTGCTTCAGGTGCCCTCTCAAATTGTTCACTGATGGAAGTCCTTCGCAGATCTCTCTTTTTGGATCTAGTCCTTGCTCTCTACTAGCTCCTGTGACTGTGGCCCTTTGGGTTCCTTCCTTGTTTCCTGGCTCCCCGCAGCAGCATTTCCCAGGACTTGGACTTTGATTTCCCTTCTCCTTGTCAATAGCCCGAGCATAAACTGCCTGTTCCCAAGCCTGGATCTGGCATCCAAGACACCAACTCAGGCTGGAACCTCAGGCTCACCAAGGAGTCAAGGCCAACAGGTAGAGAGGTTCCTCACACAGTTCCTCAGGTGGCCACCAGATGGCACTGTCAGACCATCTCACCCATAACTGGAAGTTGGGGGGGGGGTGTTATTGATATGGTAGATGGTTGGATCAGTAAGTGTGTGTTGGAAGGACGATTATTCACAAGAAAAGAAGTTATATTTTATTTGTGGGGTATAATAAAAATTAGCAAGCCTGGAATTTACAACCTGGTGAACTATTTTGAGGAAGTCAGTCCAGTTTTGCCTTCCATTTCTCTACGTTTTCCTTACTGGAACGAGGGACTACACACCTTCAAGCTCAAGTCAAAATCCTGCCTTTCTCCTGCCTTCATAAATAATACAGAATTCACAAAGATTAATCCTGAGATATTAATTAATGTAGTAACAAAGGACTCTAATACTATCAGAATATTAGATAATCTCATAAAAGCAGTATGTTTACTCACTCTAGTATCTGACATATTTTGATGATGAGAATTGGCCCTTCCCATATTCAGTCTACAGTGGATGTACAAATTATACTCCATAAACTCTGCCCTATTTCGGGCTTCATTCTCTCATAGTTTCAAGTCGCATCCTACAATAAGGTAGTTACATTTATTTCTTTAGTCTCCTGAGTACCACTTGGAGGGACTGCAGAAGGCAAAAATCAACTGAAAGGTAACTAGAAAAAAAGAGGGTCCACCGAAGTGTCTGGATAGAAAATAAATAAACAAAAGTCAATAGCTTATATTTTAACCATTAACAATTAGAAAATATTTTGGGGGGAAATGATTCCATTAACACCAACCAAAAACTTAAAATATCTAGGAAAAATCTTTTAAAATAGCCAAGGCCCATATGAAGAAAATACAAAATGCTACTTAGATAAATAAAAGAATACTTAAATCTATGAGAAAAAAACTTTTTTCTTCAATAATAAAATCCAGTATTATAAAAGTACCAATTTTCCCTGAATTAATACTATACAACCTCAACTGAATATACTGGCAGGGCTTTTGTTAATTTGACCATAAGATTTTAAAGTTCATCAAATCAATATGCAAAAATGGACAGATAATCTGGAAAAGAATAATGAAGGGACACTTATCCTATTTAAAAAAAATAGTAGAAAGTCACAGAAATTAAAGTCCAATAATGATTATTCAAAAAATAGATCAATAGAATGGAATAGGTCTCATACATAGATTCAAATATATAAGGGAATTTAATAGAAGTCATTTTAAATCAGTAGTAAAATATTGGACATTCATGAAGTCTGACAGCTGGCTAGCAATTGGGGTAAAAATAATACTGCCTTCTTATCTTTCATCTTATTGAACATAAATCCCAGATGGAGCAAAGATTATCATGTAATAAATTAAGCCCTGAGGGTACTATGAGAAAATATAGGTATTTCTGTAATCCTGAGATATCAAAGGCCATTCTTAATTATAATAGAAAAGCTTGAAACTATAAAATGAAACACCAATAAATTTTTGTGACAAAAATTTTATAAACAAAATCAAATAAATAAATGACATTTAGTTTAATTTAAAAATCACTATGTGCAAAGTTAAAAGTTAAAACAACAAACTTGGAAGCCGAATGACAATATCCCAATATTCACAGATCTCTTACAGGTCAATTAAAAAGACAACCATCCCAACCATCCCCGTGTGTATACATACACACTGAGATGTCCACAAGAACATCCACTAAACTATCAATCTGAGTTTTATCTGAGCTGTAAAGACATTAGTGGCTTTAAATTTTCTTTGTACTTTCCTATGCTTGATTTTTTATAATAAGCATGTAAAAAAAAATCTCACTATTTTACGAACAAAAGATTTAAGAGGATTCTGTGATTCCTGAATTACCTAAGTGATTCTGGCAATAGAGAGAATCTGGTTCATAAAATCTTTAAAAAGCTGATAATTAAATCTTATATTGTTTTACTTGATTAGCTTGTCAAAAGTGTTTTATTACATTCATAAATTCACACCAAAGAAAAAGAACTCATCAGCATTTAAAATCCTATAATTACTATTAATATATAAAGTAATATTGGTATTCAGGGAAGTAGTTGTCCAAATTATACATTCAATCTCCCAAACCTTGTATAGTATAAATCTTGCCTCCAAGAGAGAGAAAGAAAAAAAGAAAAAGAAAAAAACTTGATCAATTCTGAATATTCCTTAATATGCACAGTTAATATTTTATCACGCTAAGATTTTATGCTTACTGTTAATTAGAAAGCAGGGTGCTTATAAAGCCTTCAAAATTTAACTTTAAAATGCATACAAATGTTAAAATACAGTAAATCTCAGAGACAAAGGCATCAAAGAATTATATAATTGAGAAATGTATGCAACTCACATCAGGGGTTCCATGGAAGTGGAGGTTCAGAGAAAAAAGGATTAGGGAGTTATGATTTGCATAGGGAGAGACTGCAAGCAAATTAACTCTTCCGCCTGTCTTCCATTCTAACTGTATAGAAATGGTAATAATGGTTCTTTAATTAAATGACTTCTCCCAAGTTTCACTGCTATGGAATAATAATTTAGGGGGTAAAAGAAACTCGGTAAAATTATTCTGAAATACGGTGTTTTTTAGATAATTCAACTTTAAAAAGGTTCTCACACTTAACACCTCTTCTAGGAGACTTCCTCCCTTATGGCAGGTAAATTCCACTAGAATCTCCAGCCAATATTAGCAGTTTCCCAAACTGCCAGATTATCAGAATCACCAAGGAGCTTTTGAAACATGCAGATTCCCAAGTCACTATTCTCTGTCAAGGAGGTTTGGAGATCCAA